TCATGGTGTGCACTGTGTGCACTAAAACCACAGACTTTTTTTACATAGGGGGAAAAAAAAAATCTTGATGCACACACTGGACCTGGTAGGTGAGAAAGCTTAGTGTTTGCCTAAATACATGCAAAGCCTACCTAAGCAACGTAGTTAGCAGTACTCCTCATAAACTGACTAATGGCTTAACATGCAACACTCCCATGAAAGAAAATACAGAATTAGCTACTCACCTTTTGCATGATTCCCTTTTCATAATAATAGCGAAGTGATCGGCTAAGTTTATCATAGTTCATAGCTGGCCTATTTTTCTGAATCCCCCAGCGACGTGCCACCTGCCACAAAAACGGATTAGCATTGATTTGTTAAATGCATTTAATAAGCAGATCTTATCATCAGATACTTTATTTGGGGATTGAGAAGGGGGGAACTCTGCAGGTGCAATGAATAAACACAAGAGAAAAGGTTACCATGACCTGAATTTCCCATGTACTACTACGATTTTTAATTGGACACACAGTCATTCATTAAACTTGAAGCAGATTTACTTATTTGCAAACATGGTGGGGGGTGCATGTGTTTGTTTTTAATAAAGAAAACAAATGAACAAATAAAGCCATGTTAAGAAATATTACATAAAAAAATATTTATCAAGTTCCACCAGAAAACTTTACTGAAAGATGGAAACATTTCTTTGGATAATTGTACCATCCCTGTGTTTTGTTTGCTGTCAGAACACTAAGCTATATTAAACACTCATGCATGCACATTTAGCTCATGAACTAATACAGACTGTACTTGGAATGACAGTGATGTTGAGATTATTAGGAGACATGAGCCAAAAGCCAACTTTCAGTATTAAATATTACTTCAGCAAAGAAAATGAATTATCAGAAGAGGCAGGGTAATCACTTGGAACAACTATATGGTAGTATATGGTAGCATGAAGAACAGCAGAGAAATTTCACAGCTGCATTTATATACTTTCCCTTAAAGAAAAAAATTAAAAGGCAGTTGCAAGCAACTCATGAAGCCATTCCATGGAAAACAATATGCCTTCTGCTCTGACTTATGATTTCTACCTGCCTTTATGCTTTCTGTTTTATTGCCAAAGATAGTTCCGGACAAAGAGACTTTTTGTTTAAAGAGCTTAACTGCTTATTCCCAACCTGAAATTCTAATTGGCTGTTGGTGACATTTCAACAGTGGCTGTACGAACGACTACTATGTCATCAGAGGGGGAAAAAATGTCAGAGCTGATGAACTCTTCAAGCATATTCTTTAAAAATGTTTGAGAGGTGCATATGAAAACAGCTCTGGAAAAAGGAGAGAGCAGCCAAGCAGCTTCTCTGCAGACTGCTCTATGAAACTTTCTGATAGGTGTCTGGAGTCTTTTGATGCAAACCACAGATGACATGCAGCACTGAGAATTGAAGGGACTAAATAACAACAGCAAACTTTGATCTCCATCTGGACACTAATTTTTAAAATTTCTTTTGAAAGCATTATTTCTTTTCAGTGGTGCGTCTTTTCAGGCTTATGTAAATTATCAAGGCTCTGCTAACTTAGCTCTGTTATAGGTGTATTGAAACATACCTCTGATCATGGCAATTTATTCCATCTGTAATTAGGCCTAGATGAGTAACTTTGATTCACCTACTCACCTTTGTAAGACGTGCCTACATCACTCTTTTTTCATTCTTACCAAGTTTTTTTCTGCTTTAATCAGAGTCCTAGAAGTCCCCAACATCACAGTCTTGCATAATAAATAAATACACAGCAAAGATAATTACAATAAAGTAACTGTGGAGAATATGCTATATGGTGTGGTACTTCGGTGTTCTAAGTAAGCGAGCAGGTCCAGAAGTAGTTTTGGTAAGTGAGTCTTCCTGTGTCTGAGCTGCACAGCACTTAGCAAGTCTTGCACTGTGGAAGGGATTCGAGTTTTTAGCCTTCCACTTAACCTTCCTGCTGCAGGCTGCTGTCCCTGGGATAAAGCACCATAAATGGACCCACGCCCAATTCTTAGCCTCCACAGCTCAAAGTTATCTACTTTCTGAATGAACTATGGTGCTCAAGGAGCTGATACATATTCATTTTTGTTGTCACCCTCTCTACAACGGCATAAACCTCCAGAATGGGATGGGATGGAAAGGTCATGTCATTGACATCCTAACCTGCCACAGCTGAACCAACAAGCTCTTTAACTTCCTTTCAATTTACACTTGGCAGCCAACAGAAGTGTGAAACTTCCCATAGGCTATTCTTACTTTAATTGACAGTTTCTGTCAGATCCATGACATTCATATGAAAACAACTTAGGCTCCTTTCTAATCCCCTAAAAGCACACAGGAGTGAGGCAAGTTTCAAGTAGCCTGCCTCCTCCAGACCTTGGATGCAGTGCTGCTTAAAAACATAAAACAACTGCTACAAAGTCAGACAAGCAGATGATTCGGTTAACTTAAATGACAATACCCAATTCTTCAGGAAATTACATAATAAGGAAACCTTTAGGGTTTTGTTTTGCTACTTTCCCTTCCTTAGCTAATAAAATCTATAAAGTTTTTGCACCATCTGCTGGAAACCATTTTTCACTGTCTTCAGTCTTGAAAAGCTTTGGACATAACCTAAAGAGGGTAAAAAATACTGAGACTGGAGCAGGGTGAAAATTACATAGCTCATTCACCAAAATCAAGCAGAAGCCTCTCCAAAGATTTTGCTCTGTTCTGGGCCAGGTCACACAAATAAGAAGGCCCTGTAACCTGCTAAGGCTGCAGACTCGCCAGAAAAGTTTCGGTATCAGATCAGGTAAGACTGTTCTGTGGTCAAATCCTCAGATGCACAGTGTCAGGATCTGCCACAGTGACTGTCACAGAGGATGCTTTAATAAATGAGAGTCAGCACACAGATCCTTACAGCGACCTGTCCCTCAGCTAGACCCTGTCAGGAAGGAAAGGGACACCAGTCCTGTTGCCATCCCCAATGACTCTATCTTCCCCTTAGGGCTATTGGCAGATCATGTAACTTAAGTGCAAGAAAGCTTTCAGGCTGCTTCTGCCAGCAGATGGGTGGGGAACAGTAGAAATAGCTGGTGGAACACAGAACCAGCCTTGCACCCCCAAACCTTCCTACTCAGCTCTAAATCAGAGGGGATTCTGATGGAAAATTTGCTGCAGTCTCCTCTATTACCTAACCCTGCCAAAGGGGCAAAAAAGTAAACCAGAGTAATACTGCTTTTTGACAATCTTAATCAAATCATTCATATCAGTGTAACAACAAAATTCACACACGACAGATTTTCCAGCAGCTTCCATGGCTGTTCAGAACACAGGAGAGACTACGTAATGTTACCTAGTCAAAAAAAGTTTACGTAATAAAATATTCAATTTATGCCTGTTTATCACACAAGTGAACTATGTCATGCTTCAGCAAATGTTCATTAATACAAGTAATTTTATCTACCCCACGAGTCCTTCATGGATCAGGAGAGCTTGTGCATGTGCATGAGTGCTTCCAAGCAAGCCTAGGATCTGTGTGTGCACTAAAACAATCTAGCAATACAGATAAGCAGGAAGACTTGAAAGAAGACTCTCTTTAGAGTGGGATTTATGTAATTTTGATGTGATTTTACTGTTTAACAATCTTAACCTCCTCTTCTGCCATCTGTCAGACTTGGGGTCTTTCAGTCTACAGCCTAGAAGTGTCAAGTTCCCACATCTTCATGCTGAAAAATATTTGGCATTGAAGACAATTCAGGAGTAAGTTTTCAAAGAATTCTGGAACACAGCTCTACCCATGAAGTGATTCCGAAAAGTCCAGACCCAAAAAAATGCCATGTTTTGTAACCCTAGTTACCCAGAGTTTTTGTAACCCTGTTATTACTTTGTAGGATCAGGAGTAAAGTCTATGCTTAACTACGCCTCTGTCCTAACTGAAGCATTTCTCTTGCCAGTCCTTTCTGTCATCCTTCTAAAGTACTACTAGAGCAAAATATTAGAGCAAAAATAAGGTCTAAGAATGAAGAATTGCTATTAAATTTGCAGGATGGGGGAGTGGATATCAAGGCATGCTGTCTGTCTGACCTACCTCCTCTGGCTCAATCAACTTGAATTCCATGCCTCGGCCAGTCCATGCTATGAAGTGAGAGTTTGATGGGTCATCAAGAAGAGCTACCAAGAACTGCCACAGCTGAAGCGAGCCTCGCCGCTGATATGTGGGTCCCTCACGGTACATGCCCGGCTCCTGTTTGACATCACCTGCACAGAATTGCAACAACGTTACATGAGAAATGCACAAAAAGCATCGTCACTTGGTTTGTCAGATAAACCATCAAAGCAATCAGTAGAGTTAATAAAAGAGAGGGAAGGGATTCTTACTGCCTAGTCACCCACAAATGCAACATTGCCCTGTCTGCTCTTAGCTGTAAACACTCTTACAATAACATATTAATATACTAAAAACTATTAAAATTCAGTCACGATTTATGGAAGTCTCCCCAACCCTATCCCATTTTCTTTTGATACGTGCAAATCTCACTTGCCAACCACTCTGCAATATCCTCTATCTGAAATAGCATGAACTATTTTTGTTATGATGTCTGAAGAACTGCGTTTGTGTACTACACTTTGCACAAGCCCCAGTTTTGAAAAGGTAATGTATGCTTCATAAAGCTGCAAAACCCTACTGAGTGGAACTTCTTTTGCATGCAAATGCTTCTAAGGAAAATTTGACAAAGTATTTGACTGGGACTTAAATAGCATGTGCTTTATGTATGGGTATGCAAATCCTGCAGATATGCGGGTTCCTCTGTGGCATACTGGACTCGCACATAAGCACATATTACTTTTATTCCTATCTACATATTAGATTATTTCCCCTGAAAAGCAGTAAATTAGTTCTTGTAAAACTTCAGGTCCACAGGAAGCTTTGTTCCACAAACCGCCAAGGAAAAGCGATCCTGCTATATCCATGCTGTGTCTCTGTTGTCTTTAAATCATACTCATGCTAAACAACTCATGCACCAACAGCTGAAAGGTCTGAGGCTGAAGCAGAGTATTTTTTTCTGCCCACAATGACAGCAATCCTTGTTATGCTGGTAAAACACCTAATTTCAACTACCAGAAGAGCAATACCCTCCAAAAAGCAGAGCGACCTGTTTAATATGGAAAGACAGGATTTTACATTCAACCACAACATTAGGATGCTCTGATGGCCATTACAGAATGGCTCCGTGTAGTGAAAGTAAGGCTAGTAATATTAAAAATTGAGAAACTCTTCCTGTTGCAATCAGGAAAGATAATTGAGTCAATAGCTGTGGAAAACAAATCAACTCCAGGCTTTTTGGTTTATGTGAGGTTCAAATTCCAGTCCTTACAGGCCTTCTTCAAGGACAGGATTTTTCTTTTAACGATAGCCGAGCAATGTGCATATAGCAAGTGCAGAATTACAGAGGATCAGGTTCTTTGCCTGTGCTGATCTTTGATTTCAAATGAAGCAGCTGAGAATCTACTTCTGAAGCATCAAGACTAGGCCTGGACTTACCCCACTTTTGCTTTACAGGCCAAAACACAACGACACATCTGCCATTTTTTCCTCAAAAGTCATCGTGCCAGAAGTATAAACATTTTTACTTGTATCACATCAATCCCGTTAAGTACAAGGTGTTCTCTCAATCGAAAGTCATAGAAGGTAGCAGCAGACTGCTTGCTTTGCAAGCACACAAATATTTCAAAACATTTATTTCTTTTACTTTATTTACCTTTTTTTTTTTTCATTTTTTATTGCCACCCCTTTACAAAACCCAAACAAACAAAAAGGATTTTCAAGAAAGACATAGCCAAATGCTGCCCCTGAAGAATTTTAACTTCTTGTAGTACAGGGTCCGATCCCATTCTTATTAATGTAAATATCAATTTGCCACTGGTACTGAAAACAGATCAGGTCCACAATCATTTTTAGGGAAGAAGACAAAAAAACATGACATGATATGCTTTAAAATGGAAAAAAAACCCACCATATGTATATGCAGTAGACTTTCAATATATGACCTTTTCAGTGAACATGTCAATCCAGTGACAATGCCACGATCGATTGAGCAATATTCCCTTCGGTCTAACATTATTTAAAATGCTCTATTTATTTCTTGCCATTCCTAGCCAATTCCAAAATGCATGTGATACCTCCATTTGAGGAATGTTTCATTCTTGGGTTACTTTCATTTTTGTCTCCATTCTTCAGCAAACACAACAAATGCTGTTAGACACGCAATAGCTTTGTAATCTACGCAAGTCATTTGCAGGGGAAAACAAACAAAATAAAGCAAGAGAAAAGCCCCAAGACTTCTCCAGTTTTTCTTTTAGCTATGGTCAGAGAGCATTCCAAATTACTTCCTTGAGTTGTAGACTTAAGAGAGTCACCAGCAAGAAATACTGCGTCCATCTACTTTGTCTGTAATCAAATAAAACTCAAATCAACTGAGTTACACCACAAAACTGATTCTGCATCAGAGTAACTGAGGAAAATTTGGGCCATTTATTTCAATTGACCTCAGAATTGCTCTTGAAAAAAGAAATCTGTTGTAATGGGTAGCACTGTGAAAAGATCATTGATTTGTTATCAATCCCACTGAAAAATACACCAGTAGAATGTTTAACCTAGTGCACAGACATTGACACAAACACAAAAAATGCCCTATACTCTCACTCCCCACTATTCATCACTTCACAGACAGTGAGACAAGAGGCTTAATCCTCAGTAAAACCAAAGCTCTGGCTTTCTCCACTGTTTTGTTAATTGTAAGAACAGCTTTCATTAAATCACAAAACAACAAGCTGTATGTGATCATCAGTGCAATGGAAATCCTCCTATTACTCCTCAGCAGCACATGAACTGAGGTCCTCTGCTGCAACTCTGGATACAGCATCCTTCGCTGGCAAAAGTCAAACGACATCCTATTGAAGAGGAGAGTTCGGTTTCAAAAGGCAAAGGTCAGCTTTAGTTGGGTGCATTACAAATGGTGTGTTATGGAATCCTCAGTTGGATGTTACTGAGCTTTTTTGATTAGCATCAGAGAAAAGTCCCTCATGTCTTCCCTTTTTCACCCCCACCCCCCGAAAAAGAGAGAGATGTTTCAAACATACCGTCAAACTTCTCTGGAACAACGCAAGTGTCATCATAAAACTGCCTAGGTCCCTTTTCATACATACAGCCTGTAAGTTAAAAAGAGAGAGGTGTTTATATAAAACAGGCATGGAGAAAGAAGAGATCATAGGCTTAATGCCAGAGGGAACACTAAGTCATAAAGGAATCAGATTAGTACCCCACATCCTTTATACACAGCCCCATCGCAACATTTTGGCCTCAGTACAGGGGTGTTTAATTCACGTGTGCTGCACTTCCAAAAGACTGCTAATCTCCACCTGCAGAAACGAAAAAGCACCCATTTTTCTCTATGATTTATTCCGAAATGTTTGTCTCATTTCCTGTTTGACCTAGCATGGCTTTGACTTTTAACCATTAGTTCCTGTAGGTCTTCTCCCTGAGAGACTACAGGAGTCCTGCTCAGCATTTCCTCCTCACACTCACAGAAGCAACCCCCCCACACCTTAACGTTTCTTCCAATTATGATTGCTCTGCAAAATCTCTGCAACCTCGCACTCTTCCTAGCACTCTCTTCATACATATTCCTACTTTTCAGTATTATTTTTATGTTTTGTCTAACCAAAACTGTATTGCATGCCAGCATCAGCCTCACCAGTGCCTACTTAGCAAGACAGAACACCTCCTCCACTCCTGCTTCTCTGTGACCCTCCTTTTGACTGTGAAAATATCACAGAAGGCCTTTTTGCCATACAGTTGCAGTGTTTAGTTGGACTGGTTTCCCACTGTGAAGCCTAGGAGGAGGAGGCCCATCTCAAAATCATTTTTTCCAACGTACTGTTTCCCTGTTCCTTAGGCCTGCTCTACATTCAGCATATTAAAACCCCATTTCATTTAATGTGTCCAGGTTACCAAACAATTCAGATTGTTTTCTGTGACTACCCTGTCCTGCCTGTTTTTACCACTCTGCCCGTCTTTGTGCCATAGTTATCTATTAACTTTGTTCCATATATTTACTGAAAACGTTGAATGGTTACACTCCTGATATCAATTCCTAAAGAACTATAATAGAAACAATCCATTCAGAGATGATTGCCCAGTGACAGCCACTTTCAGAGCTGTCAGTTGGCCAGGTCTTAATGTATTTAATGTGTACTTTATTGATACGGCTTTGTGCTAACTTCTTAATCAGAATGTAATGCAATGGCAAACTGAATGCCATAAAATGTTGAACTATAAGATATAAGTATCTTTATTAATCAAATTTTTAATTTCAGCAAAGAATAGAATCAGATTTGACATGACTTTTATTCCATAAAATCATGTTGACCAATTTCCAAGTGCAGAAAATAACTGCTGAACATCACTGCTTTTTCTACATTGTTCACAACCATTTTACCACCTCTAAGTAATTCTGAGTGCGTAACATGGCTAAGATTGTTTTTCCCCTATTTGTGCTGTGATTATAACTCAAATCTGTTGACCTTAGCCCTGCAGTTTGTGGATTTTTCCCTGATGTCTTTCACCTCCCTTTTCAAGCTTCTACACTTCATATAATTTCACTTACCAATACTGTTCTAAATTTCCATCTCCTGTTTCACCCTCCCTGTTAAACACTATCTTTTAGTTCTATTTTCTGTCTTTATTCCAGACCAAAAGCAGTTGAGCTTTTAGCCAGATTCGTTATCTTTCCAGCTGTGCCTTTTCACTAGTGAATGAAGTCTTACTAGATGACTTTGATTCATACATCTGCCTGAATTCTCATTAATATCAACACAAATTTCCCTCATGTTTCTGCAATTTGGCCCTTGGAAGAAAAACAAATAAACCCTAAACAAACAAACAAAAAGTCACATATTGACAAGAAAAATACACCAAAGCAGGAAAGTGGAGGGTACAATCTCTCTTTCAGTGGTCATTTTTTCCTAGTTCTATTGAATTTCTTGTTTTTAATACATATAAAGTGCTTTTATTCAGAACTCTTAATGCTCTGTCCTACTGAGATCACTGGGAGGTTTGGTATGCATCACATGGCTGTACAACTTGGACCCGAGCAGCACGAAAACTTTGCAAAAATTGTAATGAAGGCGAAAGCCGAAAACCTTCACCGACTTTAGTGTATAAAATGGGTTACTTAACAGTTAACTGAGCCTGTCACACCAACAGCCTGGAAAATATCACTTCAGCAGAAAAGGTAAAACAGACAAATTTTTAAGTGTCTCTTCCTTTCAACTGCTAGGGGCTTTGAAAAGCAGAATGAGCAATAATAAAATTGTTCCTATCCTGATCAACTTGTGGCACTAAAAGAAGCTACAAAACAATCAGCACATCAGAAACTCAAGACAAGGAAGGGAAAGAAAGATGATGTGAGACTTTCCAGCAGCAGAATTAAGCCAGTGAGCCTCAAATCCCTCCAGGCTTTTTACGTTTTTATGTTTCTCTCATACAAAAGCAATACATAATAGAAAACTTAACTTCTGTTCTGTTTGGGTGAGCCAGGAAGCCTTCTTGCCTCATGTAAATGGAATGGCAGCTAGGCACTTCTGAAAGGAGAAGACAATGCTAGTCAAAAGACTGTCTGGAATTAAAAGGGTTCAGGTTATCAATGAGACAGGCTGCAGGCAGAAGAGCAACAAAAATGATGCAAGTTACAGCGAGGGGGAACCTGTCAACACACAGTCAGCATTTCAGTGCAGCACGCACAAGGCATGGCAGAGGAGGAAATCATAATGTGAGGACCACAGATCCCATCTAACACAGGCACTTGAATCCAAAGCCTTATTGTAACCAGCTTTGCTAAAAGCTGACTCCTGTGACAGTTACACTTTAGATCATTCACAGAGAAAAAAAAACCCTCACAAGACAGTAGGAATATTTTAATCCCTGTGCCTGCATATCTTTCTAACTAATCCAACCTAACCTTCTCCATCGATTACACAGGAAAGCCCACCAACCACACCTGAGACTTACCAACTTAATATAAGCTTATATAACTTATATAAGTTTATAACATTGGAGTGAATTGAGTAGGATATTCTCCAGTTAAGGATTTGAAGGGTTAATGAACTTCTCTGCAATTGCTAAGCATTTAGTCTAGGAATTCAGATGCATCAATTTCACCTTCAACCTATACATATTTAAAAGGAAAAAGGCAACCCACACACACAAAAAAAAATCACTGTGCACATTCTAAGTAAAACAGACATATATTTGCCACTCCCCACCTCTACTCAAATCAGCAAGAAGAATGAGAAAAAACAAACAGAAGTAATGAAACCAGTGCTCTTTAAATGTCTTTCTTTTTTTCCCCATGTCTTGTGCTGTCCCAGAGTAGCCACATTCTGTGCACAGGGACTTGCAAACAGAAATACACCATAAATATTTGCCCTTCTAGACCGTGTTTAACCCACTTCTGGGATATCAAAAATCTTGCTTAACAAAGTCTATTTGATCTTGTGATAAACTCCTACTCTAAGCTATGCAATCTGTTTCCAGTACCTTGTAAACTCTTCAAGAGATGCAGAGGTCGAAAGAGCAGACATTATTTTTCCAACACTGCCTACAGACTCTTTCAGGCTGTGATTCCAAATTTCACTGTTCACTGACTAGTGATGAGTATCAAAGATTTGGCAGGATAAGAAAATGAGGTTTTCCACTGACTTCACAAAACAAGTGAAACACAGGGCAGTAATAATAAGTTTCCTCTAACAGTCCATGGTCTCTCTTGCTCATCTGTGCTGAACTCTTCATTACGTCCCCTCTCGATAAATCACTCGGTGCCTGCCTGCTCAGGCCTCAAGAATCTCTAATGTCTCAGGCAGCTATTCTGAGCAACCACAGGAATCAGCGACTCAGTGATCACCTGAGTCAAGTATAGCTCTGTAGGCTAGAAGTCAAGGCTACAAGTAGTGGTTCACCTGCCAGGAATCACTCATGTTACCAAGTAGATTGAATTTTAAGGAGAATGGAAAAATCTACATTAAAAAAAAAAAAAAAAAGAGGAAGCAGTAGAACTGAAACAGATGCTATTTTCTATTTTAGGTAAAAACTCACTAGTATTGGCAGCAAAACCCCTTTTGACTCATGAACTTCACTCTTGCAAAGTGATACTGCGGAGTCTATGGAATAAAGAATTCTGCATGCATCCAAGAAGTTGTGTTCTTAGCCAATTTGGGGTTTCATCTCCCATGCTCCTAAGTCAATTATAATTAACATCTGGAGTCTCTTTAAGACAAGCACTGTTTGTATCAACATTGCTTAATCTACTGGTTAGATTTTGCTTCAACAGTCCACAGAGGACCAAAAAATACAGCAAGGAAGAGTTTATTTCTCGTAAAGTAACTAGAGTCTTGTTATCCTAAAGTGCTATCAGTTAATTTATGACTATCAGAGTGGGTCAGACTCTAATCAAATTGTAGAAACATTTCCAAAGTGATTATTCAATCAAATGACTAACATGGTTAATTAGGAGCCATAAACATTGCTCTGAAGTTCATCAAAGTAATGACTTGCCCAGAAAAATTACTGCTAATTAAATTGCCTGCTGCTTTCATTTCTACCTTATCTAATAAAAAGTCCAACCAATGAAATTTAGCATTGCAGTTTTAAATTGTACTAAATGCTTGACTAAGACCCAGAAGTATTTTTACAAGCTAAGCGTAGCTACTTCAAAAGAAAACATTTTAGTGCAGAAATTACAGAGCAATTATATGTTTTCTTCTCCTTAAAGCATTGTTTCAAGACAACAAATACAACAGAAGTAGGCATAAAATACTTCCAGGGCAGGATCCAAGTGTCTGAAGTAACTGATTTGATCACCTTTTAGCAATTTTCAGTCCTTGAAGAAAAATGTGCCTGGACTTAGGACACACAACAAACTTATTTTAGACTTTTAATGAAGTAATTCACACTGTAAAGTTACATCATCTCTGGAACAGCAGAGTCCCTTTAAAAAAAAGATAACTAAAAATATGGAAATGTTAAAAAATTATTTCACCTTTTATTATTAATTTGGAATATTTAGAATTATTTTTCATTGCTCTTCTTGCTAACAGCAACATAGCAGTCACCTTAAAACAGTGAATACAGCCTTATATCATGTTGGTTTGAAACCATTTTTTTCCCAGTAGGTGTTGTTTTAAAATTACATGTAATGTAGACATTGCAGAAATACCTTCTCATCTGGGACTGACACTGAGAAAAATACTGGAAATAAGCTCTGCTGTGCCTTAATCAAAATATATGAAAGCAGAAAAAGCCCAGAGGTCCTCAGGACAACAAAGATCTCATACTAAATTTAGCAGGCACAGGTTGTAGGTTTCATTATCAAGTAAGACACCTGAGTGGTCCCTTGGTAAGGAAGTATTTCATATCGATTATCATATCAGAATTTAAAGGGCCAGGTTTTCTCAGCCCTGTATAACTCGAAGCAGGTAAGGAATCTTTAAATCCTTGTTTCTCATTGTTTTTCAGAGATAAGGACTAAGTTTCAGACCCACAATCACACCCTGCAGAGAAACACACAGATTTTCAGCCCATGTCCATAGCCAGGCAAGACGCAGGGATGATAAAGTTCCTGCAGGCAATGGGATGAAGTGACTGTCTTCTGAGTGAAGCAGAGCAAAGCAAAATCAGGAAACCTGAAACAGGATTTATCCTTCAGCTGTTCCTGCTTTTGACCTGACATATCCTTCCTCTCTAAAAGACACATTGTTATGTTACGCTCTAACTCTGAATTACTTTTAGTTCACTCTATCATCATCATCTGCAGATTTGGAGGCCCAGAGCACCACCCATGTGCACGTGACAAAGCACAGTGTGATACAGAGGTATTGCATTACCTATGTGCATGTGCAGAGAGCGGGATGGGGAGAGCGAGGCTTAGAAGGCGTGCACAACCTGGAGCAGGGGGGAAGAGGCTGAGCTACCTGCCGGGCCTTGCTCTCCACGTGGCAGCTCGGCTGAACGGATCCATGTGCTGGCGAGGCTGCTAACCAGGCACTCCCATTCATCAAACAGCCCAACTCCCGTGTGAAACTTCCCTGCCTTCCTACAGGGATAAAACAAAGTGATGACACTACAACTAGAACCTTCTTACTGTTTGGCCTCCTACTTCTCTGACTGACACTTTATTACCAACTAAATCATATGAAGAACAGTTCCCAAAAGGAACTGTTCCCAAAGGAGTAGTTCCCCAAAAGTTCAGAGGTACTCCGCTAGCAGTGAATACAGCCAGTCCTGGAATTTAACCTACACCATATTCTCCTCGATCACCCTTTTGGTCTGAAAAGTAATTACGTGGGTTCTGGCTCCTATTTCAGCAGTTCAGAGTTGGTACATCTATACAAACAGACTTAAATACGCTGTGCCACTTGTCTTCTCATGGGCAAGAAGCAGAGCACATGCAGATTCTTTCTCCTCGTGCTGCTGGGCACGGAAGGGCATGCACAAGCCCCTCAGGCAGCTGGGACAAACCAAGCTCCCAGGCACCACGTGCACGTGCCGCCCTGACCCTGTGCTGCACACACTGACAGTACACCAGTCCTCCCTCCACAGAGCTCCACAAAGCTCTTACTTGAGCAATACCAGCACCTCTCTGGTACAGGGAGAGGTGGCTGATGCAGTGGGAAAGATTTCTACTAAGTGCAGACGCTAAGGTAGGCTGTTGAAAAGAAGATGTTCAAGCTAGAACACGTCATACTTTTGGCCTCAAACATAAAACATCACAATCAGGCTGCAAATACACTTTTCTGTTCATGGATTTCCCAGGGCTCTAACAAAGTGTTTACAAAGCAGCACACCATCCACCACCCAAACACATTTAGCCTCCTGGTGGAAAGCAGCTGTTTACCACCATGGAGAAGCTCTAACTAGCTCAAGGGTGAGGAATGATACTGGAATCACTGAAAACCAGACTGGGCTTCTTTGGCAAGAAAAGCAATTCTTCAAACTCGATTGCAAGAAGTGGCTGAGGTGGCACCATGTATAACGGATCAAAACGTATGGAGAAGTACTAAATGATTCTTTTTCATCGTGAAACCTATGATGTTGTAAACCTGTAGAACACATATAGATTAGAACTCATATTTCTCTCCAAAGGTGTCATTCAGGTAGAAATACTCAAACTAATGACAGTATCTCTAGACTGGAATTACCTGAACATATTTCACAACTCAAATGCTGGTGGGTCAGGTTTTAGGTCAAATACCTTTAAAAGTCCTAGCCACTCAGCAGCTATGTAATTACAACACAGTACTACAAATTGTAAAACCCTGGATATACATAAGTCAGCATTATTTTTTCATTAGCAGGTTCAGGATGAAAAACGTAGGTGCACTGAAGTTACATTGGTGAAAACAGAGCCACTATCTTCTCTAAAAAGCAACTTAAAAATTAAGCATTTTTTTCCTAAATCATTATGCAGTTTAAAAACATTCAGAGGGGAAGGTTTTGTTCATCATTTTGTCTGTCACTACCCTTTGTACCAGCAATTAGGAAAAAAAAGAATCTACAAGCATGTGCACTCACAGACACACATACATTC